TAAAAATAACAATTTAAATAACGTTCTTCTTCCTCATCAATAAACGATCTTTGTTGCTAACAAATGTGTAATCAACAAAAAAAAAATCTTTTGCAGTTTTTATACAAATAATTGGTCAACAATATAACTGTTCTATTATCAATCTATTATTTATAATATAGAAAAGAAAAAATTTACAGGATTTATTGCATGATTTACAAGAAGAAACTGGTGGATTCTTTCACGAGATGCTTTTAGCAATGTTTACACCGGCACATACATATTCAGCAGAACTAATTTATCATGCAATTACAGTAAGCGTATAAAATATATCAAATCAAGTTTCCAGCAACACAATTTTAGTACAGATTTTAATTTGCATACAACGTTGACAGCTAATTTTGCAGGATCGTAATGCCGACAGATCTGTTGCCGTAGAAGTGTTATGCACAAGAACAGTTTTGGTAAACAGTAAACTGTTTTCACAGTTTTTCATTCCTTTTTACCACTTTAACGATAAGCCTGCAAACTAAAATAGAGTAAAAAATTTTGTTTCGTTACAGCAAATGAAAGTTATTCGAGATTCATATTTGTCCAAGTATCAAGTACAAATTGAGAAAGATATGGAAACAAAGGTAAGAAATTTGGATCGTTTTACTCTTCAGTTGCTTCTGTATTTTATGGTATTGTTTAATTAATCGGCATATTTCTCGCCAATTTTTTAAACATTAATTTTTCTACATTGCTATGAAAACCTTAGCATTATATTAACGGCATTTTTTTAGGTGACAGGGCTTTTTGGTCGTATGTTAAGAGTACTGTTAAAGGTTCCACGAAACGATGATCAACTGATGGTTGACTCTGATCTGGCTGATGAGCATGTTAAACTGATCAGTGTGGTCAGTTTTTTTTTTTTTTGAAAAGGGAATATGTTGGCTTTTGTTTGATACATATAAACTGTTATTGGCTGAAGAATCTAAATAATTTATGAAACCATTTTAATAGTCTATTTTTACTGATGCGAAAATAAACAACTTTGTTGTAAAAATTTTTATTTGCTCAGAAACCAATACGTTCTTTCGAAACTTTTCATTTGAAAGCTTGAAGGGGCAATTGCAGAAGTGATATTTGGTTGTTAAAGAAGCTTTTCTAGCCATCTTTCTTTATGTTTTATAAATTAGAGAAAAATATTTAAAGATAGGATTTTATGACTAGTTAATGGTGACTTTTTTTGCTTATAGCCTTGTGTTAGAAATAAGACTTGTTTAAAACACAAAACTAAAACTATTTTTATCAAAAAACGTTTTGAATTTTTTTATCTGTGCATCAAAAGGTGTAAAAATCTTTTCAGAGAGGTGTAGAAGCAATTGGTAGAGATGTGGATCTTTTCACAGAGTTATTTGCCGGTCATAGCTGGGGTCAAATAGCTGCATTTCTTCAGAGGTTCAAAATGAGTGACGTTCGAAGGAAAAGTTTACTGAGCTATATAAGGCAAGATAAAAATCTTCACGCTGATATTCAAAAGATGCTTTTGGTTATTGGTATGTTTTTTTTTTTTTTAAACTGCTATACAGCTGTTTCTGTGTT